GAGAGAGGGGCATTCTCTTGCACCGCATCCAATCGATCATGTGTGTGTATGTTTGTGTGCATGAGTTGGTGTGTGCAGTGAGCTGAGCGGCCCAGCGACGGCTGCATTTGCCCTCCAGTGCGTGCCTTTGCTGGTGCAGAAGACAGGCAGTGAACACAATACACCCATCTGAACACAGGTGTCTCTATATCCATCTGTCTCTCTGTCTCTGTGTGTCTCCCTCCCTCTGTCCCTCCCTCCCTCCCTCCCTCCCTCCCTCCCGTTGTGTAGCTGGTGTTCGTGTCTGTGCCAGTCTGGCTGATTGCCCTGCTCTGCGCTGCCACACGTAAGGAAAACGGACATCACACCAATGCGTGTGTTGCGAGTCCATTAATCCATATCTTTATGTTTTGTTTTCAGTGTTGGCTGCCTACACGACTTTCGCGGCACTCACCGACACTCTCAAGACAGCAACCAAGTGAAAGCACTCACATTCATCCATCCATCCATGCAAATGCCCTCCGTCGACACCTTGTCTGTGTGTTGTGTCGATGAATGTGTGTAGATGGCTGCTCGTTGTGGTCGCGTCTCTGTTGGTGGCCAATCTGCTGCTCCAGTTTGCAGCTGCGACAGGCGTCGACGCGAGCAGAGTGCTGACGCGACCCGCCGCCTACATTTCCGTCTATGTGGGCCTGTTGCTGGTGCTCACGGGCGGAGGACTGGCTGCGACAGTCACAATGGTAAGCATTCGACGAGACGCAGACTCATGCATGGACACTCGTGTGCGTTTGCGTATGTGGTGTGGTGGAACAAGAGCCGTTTTGTGGGGGACGTCGTCTTTGTGCTGTCTCTGCCGCTTGTCTGCTCATACATCGCCACTGCCTCGCTCAGTCAGTCAGTCAGTCAGCACCACAAGAGCCATGAAGACATACACAAAAAGATGGGATGGGATGTGTGTGTGTGGGGTGGGTGAATGCAGGCGTTCTCCTGTTTGTATTGCTCGGCCTGTCGCCCTCACTCGACCCTCTCCACTACTTCCGGCAAATAAACAAACACACACTCACCCAAGACACACAGTCGACCGACCTGTCTGCCTTCGTGTGTGCCTTTGTGTGTCTCATATCAGTGTGCCGACGTTCTTCGCTCTCCCGGGCTGGCCGATCCTCCTCGCAATCTGGGTCAGTCCGTCGGTCAATATTTATATGCACAATCGTGCCTTTCGGCTGTGTGCTGCTGCAGGCGTGTGTGTTTGCTGTCGGCGCGCGTGTGCATCTCGTGAGGTAAAACAGTGACGATATAGACCACTGATGGCCATTGGCTTGAACCAATTTTGAATTCTATCTCACAGGGAGGAGCAGCGCAAGTACGCCACCACCAGCCCCGACACGACGACCACCGTGTGAGCCACAGAACGACAGACAGACAGACAGACAGACGGATATGACTGACACAGAGGGAGGAGAGACGTGAGTGACGGATTGAGGGCTGACTTGATGGATGGATGAATGGATGCAGTAACTGCAATAAAACGATGACATGACTTGATCGTGTTTTCAATCGCATCCAGTCTTACTTGTGGCGTCATTCAACGTGCATACCGAATTACTTCGCCTGGCTGGCTGGCTGGCTGAGTCATCCATGTGTGTGGTTTGAGGGTGTGTGGACCGTTCGTTCCTTGTCGGCTAACACTCTCACGTGGCCACTTAAGTGACTGGAAGCATTTCACATGAGACACGCACAACGACTGAATGGGTATATTGTCGGTTGTCTCTCCCTCTCTCTCTGTGTGTCTGCGTGTGTGTGTACACGTGGGTGTTTGTATAATGCGAAGGTGAGGCCCGAAGGGCCGAGCCGAGCACGGTGAGTACACATGCCTTATCCCCTCTCCCTCATGAACGGATGGATGCATGGCTATAAGCCTCACCAACCTAGCAGGGGTCTTGATGCACGTCTGCACATACACGCAACACACAGACACACACACACAGAAAAAGAGAGAGAGAGAGAGAGAGAGACATACAGGAAAACACATGAGGAGATGAGACGGGCAATGGGTGGACACGTGTGGTGCGGTCTAATGGATGCGTACTTTGCCTACTTTGCCCTCAAGCGTGTAGCCGTGGGGACACATGTATTGCGGAGGGACAGTGACGCGGGACGACACGGGCTAAAGGGACACGTAGAGACCACACGTAGAGACCACACACACAATGATCAAGTGATCCATTGATTGCTATTCTGTTTCCTCCCCGTCTTTGTCTCTGTCTGCAATACAGACCTTTCTGCATTTAAATGGGAGCCGTACTTCCGTTTCGCGTACATGTCTGCATGACATACAGGCACACACATGAGCTACAGACAATGTCCATCCATCCATTCGTGTGTGTGGTGTGGCCTAGCGTACGCATTGCCAGCCGTCCTGCGGGGTTGTAGCGTTTGGAGCACCTGGCCTGCAGGTGTGCTTGCGATCTTGATGCACTCCCCTTCACCAGGTATACCTGGTTTGTCCCAATTTCTCGGGTACTACCCCTGCAGACACGAAAGAGAGAAGGGAACGTATGCGTTTGCATGCGTGTGCATGTGTGTGACCAGCCGCGACCACTGGGCAGTAGGATAAGACACCGAATTTGCTCCCGGTGGATTCGGTGTAGGCCTACTTAGAAACTTTCCCCCCATTCCCGCCACTGATATGTATACCCGGACTCACAGTACGGGATGGCGGGCATCGTGTGGGGCATGTAGTGCCCCATGGGCAGTGCACCTCATTGTCGTTTTCCTCATCGCCATAAAGGAGAGGATGACACAGCACAGCACAACAGACATTCATCAGCTATGTGCGTGACGCGTGTGTCTGGTGTGGGGCGTGTGCGTGGGGTGGGGGGGTGCGGCGCGCCTGCCAGTGGCTCGCTACATTGGAGCCAGTAGTCTTGGCCTTTGTCTCCATCTTCATCGGCGCCATCTGTGGTATGTTATGCAAAGTTGCATTCTCCCCAGCTGGGGCCATGGGGGCCATAGTCATCGCGGTGGGCGCTGGTGTATAGGTGGTGCTCTCCCGGCGGAGGATGTCACGCTGGCAAACGACGACAGTACCTGCTGCAATGAAAGGTAGCGCACACAACACCACAGAGAAATCAGATGAGTTTTGTGTGTCGGGAGCGCCTGCACTGACCTGATCCTTCTTATCTTCGTGTGTTCTCACGACGGCGTCCCGCGATATGCCTTCGGGCGCAGCTTGCACAAGCACGACACACCACAGCGAGACGGATGGATGGATGGATGGGCAGATCTACGGCAGATCTATCCCCGGCCCCCACACCCCCACACACGTACCTGTGCGAGTGTGGCCTGAAGGCCCAGGAGGGCGATGAGCACGACGCTGGAGATCATACTCGCAACGTAACCGGGCTTTTCACGGAGACCCGCAAAGTCATAATACTGTGGTCAGTTTTTCACGTAGAGGGCCAGTTTTCCACTCGGGGCTTCAGTTCCGTTGCAGAGCGCCGGCCTTCCGTTCACTTCCTGCGAGCTTAGCCCCTCCCCCCCGTTTTGGGCTGGTTTTGGGTTTGGGGAGTTCCTAACCAGTGTTGAAAGTAGCGGGGTCAAGGGTCAAAATCAGGGGTCAAAAAAGTGGGGGGAGGCCAAAATTTCACGACCCCCCAAAAGCACCAGCTGGGGGAGGTAAGACCGCTCCCCACCAGCTGGGGGAGCGTCCGATCGCTCCTTCAAAATCATGAAAATGCCCTCCTGGAAAGCTGAGACTTGACATGCTGATACTAAGCCACACGACGGGTCTCCCAGATCTCTTTTTCCAGGGGAAACCTCGTGGGATGCATCGAAAGCTCGCCTTCAAGCTCGCAAGCGAAACGGGCGAGAGAGGGCAAAGCCGCCGCATGACGACCATCTGGCTGTGTGCGTAGCTGGTGTCGCTTGCATGGGATCTCTACGTGCATCAGGTGTGCCGTCACACACACACACAGCACCCTCCCTCACTGTTCTTGTCTGTCTGTCTGTCTGTGGTGGCTGGTCAGTCAGGCGATCGATCTCTGTATACTCGCCATGGTCGAGAAGACACGATTTGTCGCCCGACCACCATACGTCAAGCAAAGACAATGGTAGGCGGCCTTAAGAAGGCTTTCATCCATCCCGTGCGTGTGGTGCGTTGTGCGTGCCTGTCTGCTGCAGGTAATAAATCCACCCGTGCCCCTCCTCTCCTACCATTACATAAGAATCAGGCGACTTCGGTCGTAACTTCCTGGAGAGAGGAACACCATGAAGGTAGACGGCCAAATAAACAGGCATCGTGGCCTAATGGCAAACAGAGAGGCATCGTGGCTTCCACATAACGACCATCTGGCTGTATGCGTCGCTGGTGTCGCTTGCATGAGATCTCTACGTGCCGCATCAGGTGTGCCGTCACCAACGACGGTGAGAAAGCCGTGGCCGGCAGTGGTCAGGGTCGCCAGCGCGAATCGACATCAGGTAAGGTACCACGTGTATACACACGCCACACACACATACACACACACATCTCCCACACAATGACGCCTCTCTCTTGTGTGTCTGCAAAGTTCGGCGACTCCATCGACACAAACGACAATAACACGACAAGAAAACCGTCCAATGATGGACTGCGACAAGGAAACCGTCCAACGATGGGCTGCTGTAGTCACGTCTCTGGGCAAGCTCCTGAAGAGCTGGGCCAATCGGCTCTCATGCCAATAGGCTCGTCATGAAGAGGGCACGCTCTCCTTTGCGTTGAGGCAAGCTGATCTGCACTTGTATGTTGATCTGCGCTGTTTGTCTGATCCCCTCGTGATCCGCCCTTCATCCCACTTCATGATTTGTGCTGTGCGTCTTGTCCTTACCTGTGTACCTGTTCGTGTTCCTACCATGAGACATCCACACACATACACACACACACAGCTACAAAAGGGAGAAGGACATGCATGCAATTGTCTATGTTCTTTTATTCATCGCATGGATGGTGTGATCGACGTGTTTTCTGGACACATCCGCATTCTCCGTCAAGGGCGCAATCGCCCCAATCACTGGGGGGTCGTGCACCGCGCTCAGTTTGCCTGGGCGCCTTACTTGTCTCTGTGTAAGCTCGCATTTTGACCCTGTTGACCCCGCAAGCTCGCGGTCAAATACCGGCGATTTCTCGAGCTTACTTTCAACACTGTGAATCCTAACTCGGCAGGCCGTGGCATCGCCCCTGCCCTGGAGCCCCAGTTCCGCAGAACACGGTTGGAAACTGTCCCGCAGAGACGCCCCCATCATTCTGCGATCACTGCTTCAAGATTCATTAAGACGTGTTAGTCGAGGACTGAGCACATCGTCTGCGACGTTTGCTGAGCCGCGATGATGCGTCGTTTCGGCCTCCGTTTCATCCTGGTGGTCGGCCTGGCCGCCATCGTGACAGCCCAGCGCAGCTGTGGCCTACGTAAGCCAGAGCACCGAACCGACCATCCACCGTAGCAGATCTGCCCATGCTGGCTGTTTCTTCTGCTCTTTTGTCCATATGGATGGCCGGACGGCTGATGTGTGGTGCACAGAGATGTCGGTTGATGCTCATGAGCTCGGTAGGTGGCCGGGCACATTCATCCGTCCGTCCATCCATGTACGTTAGTCATTGGTGTATTCCATCCATCCATCCACGGCTGCAGGCGTGTCGGGCACCGGTTCGTTTCTGTCCCTGGCCCTCGGTTCGATAGCTCACGCCGCAGATATGGCCGCGGCCGCCAACAAGATGAGCGCCATGGCCCACAACATGAGCAGCATGGCGCTGACGGCCACCGCCAAGACGCATCAGTGAGGGAGAGAGACCAGATATGAGGTTTTCACTCTCTCTGGACACTCTGTCTATGTGTGTGTGCGTCTGGGTGCGCGTGTGTGTGCCCTTCCGTCTCCCCAATCGCTCAGTACGCTCAAGAGCGTCCATCCGCCTCTGTCCCACCGTGACGCCCTTGCGTTCCGTGCGTTTGGCTTTGAGCCCCATGAGTCACTCAAGCCAGACGATGCTGGCGCAATTGCCAAGAGTGTCAAAGACAAGCTGACTACCTCGAAGCGCAAGTGCTTCACCGCCAACTTCACCGCCGGTCACCAATCCCGACTGACTCTCGAGGAATTTGTCTCCTCCATGGCGACTACGCTCGAGAACTTTACGGCCAATACTGAACACCTCGAGGCGGATGATGCGGAGAATAAGACGGTCACACTGTGTCAGTCGATCTCCGTCGATAAGACAGTCCGGGGGTGCGAGGAGTTTGAAGTCATCCAGGACTTGCAAGGGCTCAACTTCGGTTAGCGAGTGGAGGAAGGGAGTCAAGGATGCGAGCGAGTGTAACGTGTTCCGTTGTGTTTGATGTATTCAGTCCCGTATTACACAAAGGATGGCGACGCTTCGATCAGGTGGACGAAGAACACGTGCCATATGTGTGTTCTTCTAGAAGAAAGACCCCAAGGTGAAGGGCGAGTTCCCCTACAAGTAGGATTGAATACAAAATGCACTGATATGAATGTTCACCCCTGGACCTCTTCCACGACCCAGGCGCCTGGCGCACAAGGAACCAATGACTTGTCCCAAGCTCGTCGACAAGGAGGGCTGTGGCGATCGCGAGTCCTACCCCGTCGCAGATCCTCCGATGCGCTACCTTCCCGTGACGATCCCTCTTGAAGGCACAGATCTGATAAACAAGTTCGACGATAAGGACTCGTTTATGAAAAACATTGTCTTCCAAGGTCAGGGCGATTAGCCAAAGGTCTGCTGATGGAAAACATGCCTGTATGTTCTGTGTCTCGCATGCGTGTGCGCCTGGATGCGTGCGTGGATGTATGCAGAGGACCCGAAACTACGAGCTATCAGAATAGTCCGCAACCTTGGAGTCAAAGGCAATCGCTTCAGCATCCTCGGCGTCAAAGTGGCTTCTTCGGTGAAAGGCAAGTTCTTCAACCCCAAAACCAAGGAAATGGAAGAGGAGAAGCCTGCATACATCGTAAGAAGGAGGAGGAACAGATCGAAGCTATGGATGATCTGTTTCGCAGGTCTTTAAGATGCACGTGCGCGGTTGACAGCGACAAAAGGGAGAAACGCGGCCACAGGTTTCCCTGTTTTCCTCAGGCACTCCAGGCTGACGTGTGGATCGCTAACACGGAAGAGCTCAAGGAAAATGAGCACTTTGCGCTCGGGTTCGGGAAGCAGGCAATTACCATGGGTTTAGGAACGGTCCCCACTGCAGACAACATGTACACACCGCAGGCAACACTGCATCCATGCTCTGCATGAGTGCCTTTATGAATGCAGGGGTAAGTTCTCGAAGAAGGAGAACGGACAGTGGGTTGTCGCGCCTGGCTTTCCATTCCAAGTAAGGACAGAGAACAGGGGGAAAGAAATGAGGACATGTCTTTCCCGTTCTCTTAGGTAAATCGGAATGCTCCCGATTACGCCAAGAGAGAATACACTCGCTTGACTCGCGATGCTCACTTTGTGTTCCATTCCGAGGGTGAAAAGGAAATCAAAAAGCGATTCATCTCCGACGTGTATCACAATTTGTATCCAGAGGAGGAGGCCGGACACACCGACCAGCAGCCGCCCGCCAAGAACGCCCGCAAGGAGGCGTAGATGGGGGAGGCGGTCGAGCCCATTAGACACCGTTGATGACGCCAAGTGCATGTGTTGACGACGAATCTTCTTGCAAAAACGCTCTGGCTGCATCACTTTGCGTGGCGTGTGTGGAGATCAACGATGAATCAAACATTCGGAGACACCAAGGGCTCTCGCAGCCATCCATGGACTGATTGAGTGAATGAAAGAACAGACGGTGTTTCATCGTTTTGAGTGACTTTGAGCGAGAACCGAGTCAATGGGCTTCTGAGAGGCTCCTGTGATTCATTCACGGCGAGAAATCACCCAAAAAGGCGCTGAAAAGCAAGTGGGTCACCTTGGTACAGTAAGCCGACCACTTGTGGCTCAAAATGACCGCAAGAAAATGAAGCACCCCTCTGTGAAAGAGCGGACCGATGAAACAGCCAATGAACGCAGAAAATCCTTGATGGTCATGTTGAGATGAACCATTCCGACTGTGATTTGCGACGAAAGAGCGATGAAAGGGAGTTTGCTTGGAGGTTGACTGACCATGTAAACAGAAGAGCAGCGCTGCCTCACTTGCGAGGCAGCAAGGGCTCATTGGTGACCCAAAGGTACCCAAAGGAGGGTCAGACCAGCCCAACACACGTTTGTGCAGCCCTGATGTGTTCGGCCTTCTTTCCTCCTCAGTCATTCCGTGCATCACTTCACCCTCCGGATCCGCCCACCGACCCACCCACCCACCCACCCATCCATCCATGCAGCCACCCATCGCACAAGCAATTTAAGGACCATTTCGTGTGATGCATTCACTGCTGCAGGCGGCGGGGCGGCATGAATTATGTGATTTGCTTCCTGTTATGCTTGCTGTCCATGCCTTTTGTGCCGTCATGGGCCCACTGACGTCATATTGGTGACTCCTGTTCCATGGACTGACGACGAATCTTCATGCAAAATAGCTCAGGCTGAATCACTAGCTGGTGGAGGGTGAATGAGACACTCAGGAGACACCCAACAGGGCTGAACAGCCTCCAGCCACTCGCACCCAACAGGCTGTGAATGGATGGTTTTTCCTCGCTTCAGAGTCGTTTTGAGCGGGGAAAAAAGAGTCAATGTGATGGAGGGGGGCTCTGGTGAGTCATTTATGGCGAGAAACCCCGCAGAAAACAAGCAGCAGATAAAGCAATCATTGGCTTGTTCGCATAAACCCATCAAATGCATAAAGCAATCACCCCTGTACTGATTGCTTTAAGCGATACTTACTGTAGAGCGTATAAGCGGGTCACGCGTAAGTGGGGTCAGCCATGTACTGACCCACTTTCGCGGTCCGGACTGTAATGTCTGACATCTCAGCAGAGAAGCAACGTCAGGCCACGCCAGCGTGCATGTGAACACCCTCTTCCTCAGGAAAGTATGCATATGCGGTTCACAGAATTGCGAAAAACATTCGCATCTCATGTCAACTCACTAAGAAGTTGTGAAGATCAGACACTCTTTCAAGCTCCAACACACTGTGTGTTCCTCAGGATGCCCTCAGAGCTGCTTCAACAATGGAGTCTCCAGTCTTTTCAAATTACACAAATAAAAATGTTCGGTACTGTAATGCAGTTTGGAACCGTTCAAGTTGCGTGTCGCGGCCGGGGGTGTTCTCTGGGCGTGCAGCTGCTCGTGCACCTGTTGGTCAAGCTGCAGTCTTTGCCCTCGCAACAAAGCCAGACACCACACAAAATGGACAGATCTGCCATAATGCATGGTCACTTCGGTGCGTGTGGCGCCTGTGTGGCTTACGTCGGTCATGCGTGCGCCGGCCAGCTGAGGCTGCACAAGGGCGGCCAAGCACGCCAGCAGGATGGCAGTGAGGACGAAACGACGCATCGTCATGGACAGACGTCGAAAGCGATGCGCACACTCGACGAGAGTGAGAGATCTCTAACTGAACGGAACGGAAAGAGAGAGAAAGAGAGCGAAAGCGGATGCGCGTTCTGAATTGGCCAGGAACATCCATCTGCCGAAAGCTCGCACGTTTTCGGTCCCGTTCCGTCGTAAGTATCGCTCTTCGCTCGGATATGTCCATTATCGTTCGCAAGATGGCTTTGTTGCTCATTCTCGCCATTTGTTTCGCCGTCCACTTCGCGGGTAAGTCGCACCTTCGCAGCCACGATGCAGCCATCAGTTTGGGCAGATCCACCCATCGATATGACCTCTGTGTGAGGTGTGGTTGTCAGTTGTCACGAGCGGCGCATCCTCGTCGGAGTTGGCCCTCGTGCAATCCCAGGTGGCGGCCGCCAAGAAGACTATGGTGGCAGCCAGCAAGCTGAACCAGGTGGCCAACCAGCTGAACCAGGAGGCCCAGGAGCTCCACGTGGCGGCCAGCGAGGCCATTGAGACGCCTACACCGCCATGCTGCAGATCACTGACGGTAACTGTTCCGCCCGTCAGGGAGGTGCCATGCACGACGCACGCCACCTCGCTTGCCATTCATTGCCTCCCCATCTCCTTTCCCTTACTGGCTGTCTGACCGAATGCGTGTGCATGGCTGGACGAACCACTCATACATGAATAGAGGGACAGAAGCGAATCAATCCACTGATCCGTCCCACATACATGAAGCACGTGCATGTACACACGAATGCACACACACACACACACACAGAGTCAGTGACTCACCATCCAATCGTCTGGCAACCAAAACAGCAGTACACTCACTCACAGCTCCCTCTCGAGCAATCGGCAGTGATTCGGTGGACGTGCTCCATGTGTGCGTGGGGGGTACGTCTGTGAATTTCAGAGTGTCTCTTGTACATCAAATCACATCCATCCATCCATCCATATGCATTTCCATCCAGTCAATCATCCCGTCATGCCGCGATTGGACGCTCTTATGCTACACATACGCACACACAACACACACACACACACACACGTAGACTTGTATCGCATTACAGCGCCTTATCGCGGCCGCGAAAGCCCAGTGCAGCTACAATCAGTCACACGCACTGGGCTTCGGTGTCGTCTGTCTTGACGTCATGACCACCACCACCACACGATGCAGCGTCCTCCGATGTCTTTCGGCGGCTCTCCTTTGCTTTGTATGAGCGATACATGCCTGAACGTGGTGCAGATATACATACATACATACATACATCCCTACCTACGTACACGCGTAGCTTCCCTCCCTCTCCCTCTGTGTATGTGTATGTCTTTTTGCCTCTGATTTGTGCGATGGCTTCATGCGCGAGGGCCTCCGTCTGAAACTCCAACGTCATCAGTGGCTTGCTCTGACCACCCACCCATTCATTAATGCATGCATGGATACATTCGTTCACAGGCACACATGCGCACAGAACCACCCAGCCATGAAACTTGCATAATGACGTCTGTCTGTCTCTCTTGTGTCTGTCAACCTTTGTACCTGCAGCTGGTTGAAGTAGAAGAAGAGCACTCGAGGGCTGCTCTTCTTGGAGGTGATTTTGAGCACGTCCTTCAGCCAAAAGTGGGCGTGAACCAACACACTCTCGCCCTCGCACTCAGCCCCACCACCGCTACCACCATCTCCATCGCCAGCAGCACCAGGGGCGCCCGGCTCGCCAGCCTCACCGGAGTCATCACCACTGCCACTCCTCTCATCTGCCTCCCCAGAGGTCTCATCGTCGTGTGGCTTGGCGCCCTTTGGATCGGACACGCATAGGATTTCCAGAGGGGTCACTGCTAGAGTGCACGGCCCCCTATCCGGCACGTAGTAATAGAGCTGCGGGGATGGGGCTGGGGAGGTGCCATCTGCCGCTGGTGCGGGTGCTCGTGGTGGTGGTGACGTCTTGGCTGCATCGTTGGGAGGGCCGTCTGCTGGAGGTGCTGACGTCGGCTCGTCAGTGCGGGTGTCGTCCATGATGTAGACGAGTACATCAATGCGGCAAGGGAACAGCCGGGCGCCGCTCTTCTTCATGCTCTGCAGAAGACCCCACTCCAGCCGCGTCACGTCGAGCCCTGGTGGCGGCTCCAGACTTGCCTCAGCATGCATGTTCCTCTTGCCGTGATGGGGCTCCCGCCTCTCGGCGTGGTGGTGATGGTGCCGTTGCGGCCTCCCCGCCCCCTCCCCCGCCCTCTCACTTGTCTCTGCCCCCGACACGGACGAAGACGCCTCGGACGCCGAAGCTGCTGCAGCTGCTGACAGGAAGGCTTGTGATTGTGCGGACTGGAGGCTTGACCTCACGCGCTTCTGTGCGGCGGTCCATATGTTGGAGACAAACGATGTGACGGCGGCCGAGGGCGGGGGAAAGGGCGCCGAGCCCTTCGCGTCGGACAGGGAGAGGTTCTCCCACGGATCGGCGTCCTCCAGCGGCGAAATGGGCGACGGGGGCTGCTCGGAAGGGGGAGATGGGATCCTGAAGGACACATGAGTGAATCCAGCAATCAAGACATTTGGACATACGAGCAGGGAGGCAGTGGGTGTGAGGTACGGGGACTAGGGGGTCCAGCCGAGTCGCTTTCTGTCTGTGTCCAGTGTTTCGTTACGTACGGAGTGCGGAATGGGTGGAGTGCAGGGGAGCTGGGCGCCTGTGCCAGGATGGCCCGCGGGGGCTTGTAGTTGGGGCTGCACACGTGGCACTCGAAGGTTCGGTGGTCGACCAGGTCCAGCCCGCCCTTGAGGGCCATCGCGTGGCAGTCCTTGTAACCGCCCTTGGCTATGCTCACGTACCTGCCACATACAAATACAGACAACACCATTAGCGCCTCTGTGCCTGTGTGCCTCTGGGGCTTCTCTGGTCAACAGCTCAGCTACCTCATTTTCATGTCTGAGGTGAGGAAGTTGTAGTACCGCAGTGCGTCCCTGTGGGTGTCGTCCGACGAGCTCAGCAGACAGATGTGGTGCATGGGGGCCATGCACGACTCCCTCTCCCTCTCGCGCCGCATGGCACCACCCCGCTTGCCTCCCAGTGCCGGCTCAGACCGCCCGCTGCCCTTTGCCTTGGTGGTGGCACTCCCGTCGTCGGTCGCCCTGCGGCCGCTGGGGCTCCACTCGTCCCCGTCTCCAGCCATGCGGTCGAGGGCATGCGGCTCCCTGTTACCAGTAATGAGGGAGGGGTCGACAGATTTGCTTCGGATGGGCGAGGAGCCATCCGACGAGAGCGGGTGCGGCGGACAGAGCGTCTTGTCTCTCTCCATCTCTCGGTCTCGATCTCTTGAGCGATGTGTGTGCTCGATCTGCTGGTGGTCGTGGTCGTGGTGGTAAGGGTGTGCTCTTGGTGATGACCCGTCAGCGTCTGGTACGGGGGAACCCTCGCCCTCAGGCTCAGCATCTTCACCATAAGCATCACAGGCGCTAGTGTCGTTCTCATTGTCTTGATTTCCTTGTGTGTAGTATCTGTCAGCGGCGTGTGTGGAGTCGAAGTTCTCGGGGCACAGGGTGAGCAGCTGATCCTGCCAGTCGCCTCGACGGTCGACGTGAATGGCCAGGGGCAGATGGCCCGCATCGAACTGCCACCTGCATTCATCCAATCCACACACACACACAGAGAAGAGAGAGGCGTGGGAGCACTGCTTGGTGGCAATCTTCGCGTGTTTGTTTGTTTGTTTGTTTGCTTGCTTGCCTGGGTCGTATGTCGAGGAGCAGCAGCTTCCACGAGAAGTTGGGGCCTTTCAGCCCATAACAGTGGCTGCACAACACAACCGACCAAGTTGCACGAAATGCGTGGCCTGAGGTATCGTATCTTGCCTGAGTATTTCAGCCGGGAGGAGGTGGAATGCGCCCTCCCGCTCGAGCTGATCCAAATGGGGCGGCCGGAAGATTTGACCGCTCTGATTGAACCACAGACAGACAGGCACACAGGTGTGTTTGTCGTGTCAGTGTGTCAGTCAGGAGGGTTCGTCTGCCTGTCAGTCAGTTGCCGCACGCACCTGCGATGTGGCTGAGAGTCTGTGTGCGAATGAGGTGGGAGTGTTCTTCTTGAGCTCCTCTGCTGTACGCCACACCTGTGCACAACACAACACACCAGAAGCGCAACGACCCATACATGGAGTGTGTACGTCCCTCCCTCCCTCCCTACCAACCAACCTGCTCGAGGTCTTGATAGCTCTCGACAGTGATTCGGGTGAGTGTCTCGGGCAGCTGCGACTCGTCCGTGTCGAAGAGAGCCCGCCGCCGCTTCAGAATCAGAGCCAGGCCAAGAAAACAAAAGAAGAAGCGGTCGTCCTGCACACAACACAACACAACACAACACAACCGACCAACCAACCAACCATGGGTCTGGTGCTATGTGGTTTGCGTCATCGCCTCACTCAGTCAGTCACCTCTGCTATGTATCTGTCCCAGAGGGCCATGAGTGCGTCCATGGGTGTCTTGGACGAGAAGACGGTGAGGAACCAGGGAGTCACATACAGCTCAGGCGTCACCTCATACCGATCTGCATCCATCGAGACACCAGTGAACCAACCAACCGAGACGCGGTCGATGAGTCCACAGAAAGAAGTCAGAACGGTCATTTGTGGGCTGCCTGAGTGAGTGACTGACTGGCGGACTGACCGAGGTATGTGGCCAGTGTGGGGTCGTGGTATCGCAGAAGGTGATGGAAGAGGTGGAAGGAGCACTGCAGAGAGATGAAGTCGTCGTCGGAAAATGCTGTCGGCAAATACCTATCACCACACATACGTATACGCGTTGCAACGCTGTCTGCCTGTAAGTGACTGACGTCGTAGCTTTGGCTGACCTGGACACGAACGCCTGGAAGCAGACGAATGCCTCAGCGCTGTCGAAGGTCGGGTCGCCCTCTCGCAAGTAAATGAACGGAGCTGCACACCGCCGAGACAGGCACACAGACGGCGTGTTGGCTGGCCGCTTCATTGCTTGTCAGTCAGTCAGTCAGTCAGTCAGTCGGTCAGTGAAGCATACAAATTCACACCCACCCACCCACCCACTCACCCACCGAGCACTTCGTTGAGGCCCTGCTTGTACCGCAGCCCTCGACCTGAACAGTGAATAAACCAAACACCACAATACACCACACCACACGGCATGCAACCAACGGAATCCAGCCCGGCCCGAGTGAGCTGAGCGACAGACACATCTGGGCAGGGCAGCCATTCACTCACTTTTGCAGTAGAATGTCAGCAGTGCCTCCATCTCAGCGCGAATCGCGTCGCTCTGGAAAAAAGCAAGACCGGCCTGACATCGATCAGCACGACAAACACAGGTTCCACAGATGCGGACCGAGTGCGTGCATGTTGCGCTCTTCTGCCCTGTTCTGCCCTGTTCTGCTCTGTTGCTCACCCTCGTTCTGTCCACATCACCTCGGATCACCCGCTGCACAGACAGTCAACCAATCACATTGGACTGACCGATACCGACTGAGCGAGCACCCGGGTGGTGTGTGTGTTGTGTGTTTGATCCGTGCCGTCATCTCACTCACTGCCTCGCTGGCTGGCAGACTGACCTGGTTGGTCTCATCGAGCTGCGTGTTTTGCAGCCACTTATGGACCTCCTCCATGGTGTTTGCGGTCTCGGCGGCCCGCTGGGGGTCCATCAGCAGTGCCCGCCACACCCTGGCACGCAACCTCGGCGGGACCCCGTCCCGGCTGCTGTGGATGCACTCCCGCACCTTCATGTCGTCCACAAACTCCGTGTTGCCCAACAAGCGCTCCAGCTCGCTCTCGCACATAGACGACCCAGCAGCACCACCAGCACTTGCGCTTGCCTCCTCCATCCTCGACTTTTATATTTGTCCTGAGCGCCACTGCCCGAGGATCTCCGAGGATCTGACGCTAGAGCTCACTGATGCTCTGTGTGCTTGTCCCCATCAGCAGCTCGTGCACGATGAGGCGTAAGATCCTGAGCGACAGTGTGATTCCTGACCATAAGGACTCCTCCATTCTCTTCCCTCCCTCCCTCTTAAGCTCGCAAACGCATCTGCGAGCTTAGGCAGGGGAAGGGAAAGAAAGAGATGTCGAGTTGCTGCAATCTGCGCCCAGGACACTTGGAAAGCTTCCGCATCAGCGCGACCGTGATTATGTGACGCTCGCTCAGGAAGTCCATCGCCAATCAATAAAACCATCATCGGCCTGGTAAGCGGCCTCTTCATTCCATTCGGCGGCGTTCCTGTCGGCCAGGCTGCGCCCGTGATTTGATTCACTTGTGTTTGTTTTGTAGGTGACTCTTAGGGCGGAGAAAGAGAGAGATTCGGTTTGGCTTGTCGAGGCGAGGCAAGATGGTGAAGTCGCGGATGAGAGCCGTCGATGTGAGGGCGATGGTGAGTGAGAACACACACGTGCGCGTGATGGATAACTGATTGTTGTGTGTGTTTGTGTTTGTGCTGCCACACACATTGCACAGGTGTCGACCATCCGTCCTCAGATCAAGGGCCTCCGGCTGGCCAACATCTACGACATCAACTCCAAGGTACCAACCAGCTAACAAACAAGCAAACACACACACACACACACATGGACACGGTGACAGATGTTTTTCGCCTCTGTCTGTTCACCTCGTTCATCTGTGCATCGTTGATGTGTCGTGTGTGCAGGTGTATGTGTTGAAGTTTGCACGAGGAGAGACCAAGCACCAGGTGCTGCTGGAGGCCGGCATCCGGTTCCACATCACCGAGTGGAAACGAGACAAATCGGCCATCCCATCTGGTTATACCATGAAGGTAGAGTAGATCCCGCCCAAACGGGATGGATGAGTGCGAGTGGATATATCGTTGTGTATGTATGTCAGCTGCGCAAGCATTTGCGTACGCGTCGTCTGGAGGACGTGCGCCAGCTGGGTGCTGACCGTGTGGTGGACTTCGTGTTCGGCGCGTCGGACGGGTGCTTCCACCTTATTCTGGAGCTGTATGTGTCGGTGAGTCAGGATGGATGACTCGACGGGACAGACACCCACACCATTATGTGGAGGGAGGGAGGGAGGGGGAATGGACTTTGCCTCTCTGTCTTCATTGTTTGTCTTGTCTGTGCATCTCTCTATAGGGCAATTTGATTCTTACTGACCACGAGTACAACATCTTGATTCTGCTGAGTGGGTGAGGGGGGGAATAAAGCCGGTCCAAAGCCACACCCACCAACAAACACATAACATACATGGGTCAATCCATGATGGCTGGATGGCTGGCTGGCTGGATGGATGGATGGATGTCAGGGAGCCATACCTACGAGGGGGATATCAAAGTGGCTGTCAAGCAAAAGGTGGGTGGGTGGGGTGTGGGTGGGCGCATGTAACCAACCGGCTCGCCTTCTGGCCTCTGCCTCAACAAATAAAGGCTCGACCGCCTCCCGCTGTGTGTGGGTGTGCAGTATCCCGTAGAGCTGGCGGCCAAGACCTCCCTTCTGGCACACTCGCTGGACCCCCACAACCTGACCGCAGACGCACTCGTCCCCAAACTGCAGGAGGTCAGTCAGGGCATCAGCGGCTGGGGATCTGTGTGTTCTGCATATGGTCCGTACCTCATTGATGTCTGTCAGCTTTTGTCCGCGTCGGAGAGCCAGCCGGAGGCCGACGAAGAGGCGACGGACAAGAAGAGGAAAAAGAAAGGTGCGTGACGTTGCGTCGTCTCAAGTATATACGCGCCTTGCACGTATGCCGTGTGTGCATGGGCAGGTCGGAGTGGCGGTGTTGGTGGCGGCGGCATAGCAGTGAAGGAGGCCATAAACCAGCTGGTGCCCTTCGCCGACCCCGTCCTCATCCACCACTGCCTCATGCAGACGGGCGTCGGACCCAAGACACTCATAACATCATCACCCGACGACCAGAGCGGCGGCATGGCAGTCCACGACGCGGCCACGGTACTCGTCAACGCCATCAACGAGGCACTCCTTGTGGTTGGTACACACGCAGACACATTGATACACACATGCATGGACTCACTCATTCACTCCCTGCCCTTTCTGTGTCACTCGTGGCTGGCTCCCTCCGTTCGTGCAGCTGCGGTCTCTGAGCATTGTGGGTGACGTGGGCGGCCCCGATGAAGGAGAGGAAGAGACCGAGCGAGACATACCCGGGTGGATCACGTACACCAAGACCAGCATCGGTGGGCAAACAAACAAGCAAGGAAGCGACAAGGGCGACGGACAGGCCATCCATCCATGATACACTCTCATGTGTGTATTCTGTGCCATATGCATGCAGCTCCGTCAGCAGAGGCCGCTGCCGCAGCTGGTGCAGACGCCAAAGCGACCGAGGCTGGCGTCTTCTACGACGAGTTTCTGCCCTTCCTCTTCGCCCAGTACAAAAGCCCATCGGTCCTTGTCAAGGAGTTTTCCCGCTTCGACTTGTGTGTCGACCACTTCTTCTCACAAATCGAGTCGCAGAAAGTCGAGAAGGATACCGCACAAAAGACGGCACAGGTACGTATGTAAACAGAGAGACAGACAGACGGCTCGCCGCACTGCACTCAGTAGATACGGTCCTCACACGTGTGTGTGTCCCTCCCTCCCTCCCTCCCTGTCTGTGAAGGTGTATTCGAAGGTTGACAAGATCCGTGTGGATCAGCAGCGTCGTGTGGAGCAGCTGGCTGGCGAGCAGGAGCTGTCTGACCGTCAGGCGTCGCTGATAGAGCAGAACACCGACACAGTGGAGCAGGCCATCATGCTCATGCGCACCGCACTCGCCACGGGAGTCGACTGGCAGGAACTATGGACGCAAATCAAATACGTACGTACGCAAGTAAACAAGCACATTGCTTCCCATATTTATATGTATGTATGTGTCAATCGGCCAGGAGCGTCGCAACGGCCACCCTGTGGCTGCCCACTTTCACGCGCTAGAGCTGAGCAAAAACACCATCCACCTCCTGCTGGGCGACAACGCAGATGACGTACAAGAGGTATGCATAACACGCACTTGCAGCCAGACAGCCAGACAGCCAGACAGCCAGACAGACAGGCGGACAGACAGACAGACACCGGAGCTACCATCCTTTCGTCCATTCATCGATTGTTTGATTGTTTGTCAGGACAAGCCCATGTTGGTGGTGCCCATCGACCTGAGCCTGTCTGCGCACGGCAATGTGCAGCGCCTCCACGCACTTCGGAAGCAGACAAAGGCCAAATTCGAAAAGACGCAGGTGGCAGCAGGTAGGACGACACATGCCACAGCGAGCAGACACGCTCTGATGCGCATCCATGCATATGTGTGTGTGGTCTTGTTCTCTGTCTGTCCGTCTCTCTGGTTGCTATGAGATAGAGTCGGCCATCAAGACGGCAGAGAAGAGGGCCAAGCAGGAGATCAAACAGGTGGGCAAAAGCACCCATACGTACCCCACAGCCCACGACGGTCACGTCGTGCACGCCGTGCAAGCATAGCCACACATGTGCACATGGACGGACGTGTGCTGGGTTCTGGTGTGCAGCAACAAGAAGCGTACCACAAGGCGAGTCTGCAGAGGCTGCGCAAGACTATGTGGTTCGAGAAACTGCTCATTTGTGTGACTGCCCGCCCTTTTCGTTGTACGAATGCATTTGATGCTCTCTGCTCAGGTTCGAGAAGTTCTACTGGTTCATCTCGTCCGAAAACTTCCTCATTCTCGCCGGTCGAGACGCAAACCAAAACGAAATACTGTTCAGGAGATACATGCAGAAGGTAGGTCGGTGCAACGTGTTTGTGTGGCCACTGGTGGCCGTTGGTGGATCGATATGTGTGGTGTGTGTCATGCATGCAGAACGACATCTACGTGCATGCTGACGTGCATGGTGCTGCCACATGCATCATTAAGAACCCCTCTGGCGAGCCTGTGCCACCCACCACACTGCACGAAGCTGGTAGGTATCCCACCACACCACACACCACACGCACTCTCTGAGTGCGTCTGCAGGCCAGATGAGCATCTGCCGCAGCGCTGCATGGGACCAGAAGGTGCTGACGTCAGCATGGTGGGTGAACAGCCACCAGGTCTCAAAGACCGCACCCACAGGTACATACACACATACATACATGAGGGCTGGTTCGTATGATGAGCGCAGACAGACATGGGTGTACACATGCCGTGTGTGTCATGCTATGCTGGTCAGGAGAGTACCTCACACAAGGGGCTTTCATGATCCGGGGCAAGAAGAACTACCTCCCCCCGATGAAACTGGAGATGGGACTCACCGTCCTCTTCCAACTCGCTGATGACAGGTACTCATACCCTCACATAGTCGTACCGCCACCCTACCCCACACCCCTGCAGCCCATTCTTTTCATTCATCCATTTCCCCCCTCATTCAGCTTTGCGCGTCACGTCGGCGAGCGGTCTGGCCGCCGTGCTGGCGACGATGCCTCGTCTGCGTCTCCGTCCCCGTCTGAGCACCGCACACCGGCATTGGCGGGAGCATCGGATCAGTTAGGGGGAGAGGAGGAGGACAACGAGTACGACGAGGTCGACCTCGGCGAGAATGGGGACGAAGACGAGCAAGAGGACGGAAGAGAGCAACAAGACCAGCCAGGCCAAGACCAAGACCAAGGCCAGCCAGATGATGAGGCAGACGAGGAGGATGAGGGGGTGCCCGAGAGCCAAACCAGCTCTGCACGCATGAGCCGCAAGGGCACCGGCTTCGTGCGGCAGGAGGACGTCCCGCCCATTTCCGACGACGAGGAAGAAGACAATGAGGATGAGGAAGAGGACCTGCAGGTCAACATGATTGTCAGGAGCGCGCAGCCTGACGCCGACAGCAACCCCCCAGCAGCAGCAGCAGAGGGGTCACACGCCAGCTCACGGGCCGAGTCCATCCAGGACACTCCACGCACAAGGCTGAGGCGCAAACCCACGGGGTTCGTTTCACTTGCCGACCTCAGAAAGAGAGCCGGTCAGTCTGGGCCTCGCTCGCGAGTATATATACATTTTCCATGGTTCTATCTATCTGTCTGCTTGCTGTGCTGTCACCTGTTCCCTGCATTCGTGCGTGCAGGTGACGAGGCGGCAGAGGAGGTGATCGAGACGACGCGAGAGGCTGAGCAATCCGGGGATAGGATGACCGACTTCGAGCGATCCGGGGCCAACCCCAACGACCCCACGACGCAGGAGATGCTGGAAGACACATCCATATCCACATCTCAGCACGATCGACCGGCCCACCCACCTACTGGCGGACAAAGGCGCCGTGTGTCGGTATCGGACACACCGCCCGCAATCATCCCAAACCCCGAGCTGCCGGAGATCCACGTCACATGGTCGCCACAAATCCAACGCGTCATCGACCCGCCGAAGATCGAAAACATCGTAAGCAACATCAAGACAGACAGGCAGCGAGACAGAGAGACTCGAGCGCACATGCCCTCCCACCCCTTTCACCACAATCAATGTACGTACCTCTTCTCGTGCTGTATGCTGCCATGTCAGCACGTTGAGTTTGACGATCTGCCGCCAGCGATTGTCCCAGATGCGCCTGAAGACCCATTTGTCGTGGAGGATGACGAGTCCCCCAGCAGCAACAAGGACAGCGAGGCCAATGGCGACGAAGGCGAGGGGGAGAGCGACACCGCAAAGACCGCAGTGCACAAGGCCAAGATGGCCCGGCGCGCGACAGGCTTCATCCGGAGCGCACCGCCGCCCAGCGACGATGAAGATGAAGATGAAGACGAGGAGGAAGACAAGGGAGATGAGGAGGGCGAGGAGCTGCCCGACCACATTGAGATCTTACCCCCGACGACCACTACCAAGGATGAGCTGGAGGTCGCGTGTGCGGCTGTGACGACACACCCTGAGGGCGCTCCGTCGGCGTCACTGACGATTGGCGGCGAGCCCGTCACACCAGCCCCCACACCGGCACTGCAGCCTTCACCCGCATCACAGCAGCCACATGTCGACCACCCAGCCGACAGGGTGAGGTCCTGAGGGAGGGAGGGAGGGAGGGAGGGAGATGAAAGGGACGGAGAGAGGATGCGCACACGCACATGACTGGTGCATCGTGCTGTGCGTGTGACTGATGCAATGCAGGCGCCCTCTGCCTCGGGCTATGACGATCGCACTTCGGCAGACAAGAGAGGCTCTTCCAGCCGACACGTGCTGTCGGCCGACTCCAGCCCGGCCCAGCGTGTGCGTCGCTTCAGCAGCCAGCTGTCGGTCTGTAGCTCAGTCGACGGTGGGCCACCACCCGAGGGCTACTCAAGCAGTGAGGTGCTCAACCCCCGCACCCTGCTCAAGTACCAGTCGAAGGAGCTGGTCGAGGTCAAGGAGCTGCTCGACCAGCGAGAGCCGCCCGTCCCCGTCTACGTCCGCATGAGCAGCATCGAAGACGAGCGGGCCAAGGTGCGCAAGAACTCCCTCGACGGTGGACCGGTACCCCCTCGCTTCTCCTCCGACTCGCTCCCCTCGGCCAAGGAGCTGCTCAGCCGGCCAATCGACATCAGGATCGGGAGCCGACAGAGTGCTGGTGCCGGCGGTGGTGGGGCGAAGGACGGGCGGCCTCCCCTCCCACCGTTGAAGCGCCACGCCACCGCAGACGCCTCCACATCGTCGGCGATCAAGGGCGGGGGCGTATCGGGGTCGTTCGCAAGGAGGCACGGAGGTCAGAGGCGACTGTCGGCTGACGGCGGACCTCTCCCTCCAGGGTACTCGCTGAACACTCTGCCGTCGGTCCGACAGCTGCTGTCTCACAGCTCGCTGGCGCTCATTGAGGAGGAAGAGGGCGGTACCCCAGCCGCGCCATCTCTACCACCGGAGCCAGGTGACGGCGGCCAAGATGACGTTGATGCGCAAGACAGGCAGCAAGAGGCAGGCGAGGAGGGGGGGGAGGAGGAGGCAGGCAAGAAGCGCCTATCAATCGCGGAGCGGAAGCGGCTCAAGAAGAAGGGCAAGGCAACCGCGCCCTCCGGAGAGTCATCACCACCGCCGGATGAGCGCCCCTCGTCCACGGAGAGCCTGGAGAAGCCCAGCACCGGTGCCGCTGCTGGTGCCAGTGCGCGCAGGCCCTCTCCCCCGTCTGATGGTGGTGGCGTGCCGCAGGTGCCTCGTGGTCAGCGGTACAAGCTCAAAAAGATCAAGGACAAGTACGCCGACCAGGATGAGGAGGAGCGGGAGCTGCGGATGCAGCTCATGGGCAGCAAGGTCGGCCAACCACCCCTCCCCCCTTGTGCCATGATGGATGTGAGTGCGTTGTTGCTGGTCATCAGGCGAAGCAGCGCAAGAAGGGCGGCAAGGGGGACAAGGATGCCGATAAGGAGGCTGAAATCAGCAAGGCAGCAGAAGCCAGGGCCAAGCAGGACCACTATGCCCGTGAGAAGGAGCGCCAGGAGAAGCGTGAGGTACGCGCGCTGCTGCAGGAGGAGGACGAGGCCGTGCTGGAGCAGCAGATGGCCGAGCGGCTCTCGGAGATTGATGCACTCACCGGATGCCCCCTAGAACAGGTACATAGCTGGCGGGGCAAGGGCGTGGGATGGCTGGTCCTCATCTGTGCGTCATATTCAGGATACGGTGCTCTTTGCCATTCCCATGGTGGCCCCCTTCTCGGCAATTCAGGTACGTACGCTGGTACCGTGCCAGCACACACAGGAATGACAAACGCAGACTTACTGATTGATGGATCTCTCTCTATCTCCCTCTGTGTGTATGTATGCAGACGTACACATACAAGGCCAAGCTAACCCCGGGCACCGGCAAGAGAGGCAAGGCCGGTCAGCAGGCAATCAAGGTCTTCATCAACACGGTCGGTCGGGCGGTCGGTGATATCACCTCAGTACAGCTCAGCAAGAATCGACGCTGTCTGTGCCCCTGTGTGCAGACTGAGCACAAGGCGCACGAGGAACTTATGCGAGCCATCCAGGTGGGCAGGGCGAGCAAATTCCATGCACTCACTGCATATCGCTCCTTGTGAGCATGCTGTGCTCTGTTGTGTTGCGGCATTCCTTCTGGGTGCAGGCCTCCGAGCTCGCCCAGGCCATGATCGGGAACGTCAAAGTCTATACACCCGGTAGGTCAGCCGGTCGAGATCGATCGGAGAACGCAACAGTCACTGACTGATTGGTTGCATGAGTCGTACTGGTGTATGTCTATGTGTCCATCAGGTATCAACAAGGTCATGCAGGCCGAAAAGAAGGAGAAAAAGAAGGAGAAGAAGAACAGGGGGGGCAAGGGACAACAGTGAGTCAGTTTGCGTGTCATGTGGTAGTGCTATTGGGTGTTGCGTTTCTTTCGCGTGCGTCTTTTCTCCGTACATAAGCTACTGGCGTATGAAAGCCGTTGCTTGGCGTGTGTATCTGTTGGAGGGGGCTCTTTTGGCCGACAGGAAGTGCATGAATGCTTGCGTGTACGAATGTACGAATGTGACAGCAACACAGGAAGACATGTGCACAGGGTCCCCTCACGCGTCAGTCGTGCACCATCCGTCATTTGCTTCACATCAGTGCCAACATGGAGGACACACAGAAACAATAGCCCACAAACCGAGATACAAAGCCAACTATAACCGAATCATATACGTCAAAGCCAACTATTACCCAATTATATACGTTCACACATGTGCCGCATGATGTGCGTGTCTCAATGTGTGTGCACACGCACACATGGTGTCCTGTGCAGTTGTGTACGGCTATACATGCCGCCGTCGCAGAATTCTTTTATCCGTGGGTCACTGTGGTGAAGGTTAAGGGTAAGCTGCCTGCCTGCCTGTCTGTGTGGACATCTCTCTCGATGCTATCTGCCATTGCCTTTGCGTGTCTTTCAAGGTATGAATCGTGTGGATGAATCAATCGGTGTGCCGCTGAAGCCCTCGATCAAGCGGCGATGCAAATACTTGGTCGCCATGCCCATCATCGCTGCCAACAAAATGCTCGAGAGATGATGGGGATTTGACCCTCCGTAAATTGAAAAGAAAGAGGAAACCCGCAAATTTGGAGGGAGGGAGGGGAGCCGAGTCGAAACTTTCGATTCGATAGTCTTGTAATGTAACTTGAATTTATTGTTTCTCTGTATGTGTCTGTATAGATGTATTGAGAAACCTGGAAACGAGAACTTTTTGGATTTCTATCTATTTTTATAAATCGTGGTGATTTCCCGGAGGCACCCCAGAGTCCCAACAAATCGTCCTCATTGGCTTTAGGACATCCATCAATGCACACCCCTCCGCCACGCACTCTCTGGTGCCATCTGGGATTGGCCTTCCCTCCAGGTTTCGGAGGCAGCCATTCATGTGTGGCATCGCACCGAACAAGAGGAACGCCGATGGACTTCATTCATCCCCAGTATCTTCCCCAGGTCCGTCGTTGTTGAAGGAGTCATCAGCCTCGTCGCGCCGGTCGTCGCGCCGGTCGTCCCGATCGTTGCGCCGGTCGTTGTCATCATCCCCAGTATCTCCCCGAGGTCCGTCAGGGTCCAAGGAATCGCCAGTATCTCGACCGGGTCCGTTGGGATTGAGAGAACTATCGGCCCTGAAAGCACAATTGCATGCGTGACCCGAGAGTCCATTAATTTCCGACATCAGGAGTTCCTGCATGCATGCTTACGAGTCTGGTCGTCGCATCGCGCCGCTGCCGGAGCTGCTGCTGTCGCTGCCAAGAGAGCTCCATCTATTGAGCCCGGAGTAGCTCTGAGATTGCGCTGGACGAGAGATTGAGGAAGCGGCGTTGTTGGAGTCCGTGTTGCCTGGCCCATTGCACCCATCTCACCCCACATATACATTTTGCATCCATTCTGAGGCATCCATAGACTTTCGAATGACTGAATTAAAGTCCACTCGAATGTATGCAATTTTACAACCGACAAATCTTTTACCTCGATTTTGTTGGTTGTAAAATTCGTAGAAATTGCATATCTTTTTTGATTGTAAAATTCGGTCTAAACATCCGAGAGGTTTAGGGAGAGGTATTGAATGCCTCTCGCGCTTTGGCGCTCCGACTCCTCTAGACACCCGCCCGTCCTGTGCGGTGCAAAACCCGGAGACAAATGTTACATACATCCACGTGCATGAGACTTGTTGACTACCGGATTATTAAACAAATTCTAACAAATACGAAAATTGAACAGGATGGTTTTAAAGAAAAACATGATGCTTATCGCTGCTCTTAGTATCGACAGGAGTACTGTGCAGCATCAAGGGCGATCTCCTCGTACTTGCCCACCATCTGCACTCCGGGCTTTGTCGCTGTGAATGTGATACCCCCACAAAAATCGCCAGACACAGCGCTTGGTTTGATCACTCCAGCGTACACGCTGATGTCACCCTGTTTGCCGCCGCCCTCCACCTTCTCAGACTTTTGCGTGTTCCTATTGATGATCCACACGGGCCGCTAGAGAAACACGTACATATTGACGATTCATAGATTCACAGCTTTCTGCATCCTGTAGTCCTTAGTGGCCTTACCTCGATGGTGAAGCTGGACAAGAGGCAGTGACTGTTTTGTTTGTCGTCAGATGGGATATCCATCCATCCCTCCCTTCTCTACTATCTAACAACGAACGTAATCCAAGCCCATCTTTGTCCGGTCCCTTCTCTCGTGGGTCTCACCCATCCCTCTCCCTCTCTCTACTATCTACATCGTGGCTGGCCTTGCTCTACTCGGATGGTGTCAAGCTATCTGTCATCTTCAAGGGCTCTGGAACAGCTTCTTCGTGTGGGCCATTCTGCGCTGCAGGTCGAGTGTTGTGAGCGGACGCCCCCCGTCACTTTCCAGCTATCGAGCCAATGGAGATCGGCAACCCTGTCGACAAACCGGCACCGAGGAAGTCATATGGAAGGCATTCTGTGGGCAGCCTTGAATTCCTCATGCCAGGCGGCCGGCTCGGAGGGGGATGGGAGGCGGCTCTAAAGGAGTCGAGCCGTTCATTCTGACTGAGTAATGTGTACAGGGAGGGTCGACCCACCTGCTTGCTTAGTGAGTGAAGCAGTCACCTGTCTACGCATGTTTATGTATGAGTGAGTGATCGAGGAGTACAGAGCGGCATCAGAGAGGAGCACAGCACACAACCATCGCCCATTCTCATCGTGTCTCAGTTGCTTATCGCGTGTCTCATTCATGTGACAAAGCAATCACCACAAAGCAATCATTTCTGTCAAACAATCAGCCCATCCCGATCACTCTATTCACAAGCAAAATGAACCGCATAAACCAATCACTCACTCATCAGCCATCCAAAGCGACCATTTCATGGCTCAAAATGACCGCAAGACACATGAAGCACCCCTCTGTGAAAGAGCGGACCGATGAAAGAGTGACTCCACGGAGAAAGACAGACATTTTGATTGTCATCTTCTGAGATGAAGCATTCTCGATTTTGCGACGAAAAAGCGACCTGGCAGTGCGTGACCGAGCTTGAGCCACGATGACATGAACGGAAGAGCAGCGGCTTCGCGCTTGAAAGGCAGCAAAGGCCCATTGGTGACTCACAGGATGGTCAGCTGAGTCATCTGAGGCATCCGATGAGTTCACACAGCACAGAAGTCCGTTTCACGCTGAGAAAAAGTCCGTTTGCCAAGAAAGCGAATTGATCGCTGTCTGTCTGTCTGTCTGTCTGCTCTCGCCCCCTTTCCCTCTCAAGCACTTCAAAATGTAGGCAGGGAGGTAGGGAAAAACAAATAAACAAACAAACAAAGAGGAAGAGGAAGAGGTTCTGCATGTAAGTATGTGTGTGACGTGTTGGCCCTTCCTTCGAGCTCGGGTGGGCGGGTGGTGTCTATGTGTGTGGTGTGTGGTGACTGGTGTGGGGTTGGTTACATTGAGAGTGGAGGAGGCCTGCCTGTGGATGTGTGTATATAGAGGAAAGAACGTTGTCTTGCTGCGCGGATAGAGAATTACACATTGAAGTGAAGATCAGCGTTTGTGTCTGTGTCTTCCGTGTGTCCACATGCATCAGCGGCACTGTTCCATGACACAGCCAGCCAGCCATCCAACCACACAGACACACAGAAACAAACGAACCACGGCTGAGGTGAAGTGTGACGAAAAGGAGACGACTTGGTGGCTTCCCTCCCCCAGAAGAGCGTGCAGGCAGCCCGGTTGCTAGACATCAGGCATAGAAGACCATGCCCATAAGTCACGGATCATACAGCCGGCCGATTGTCCAAACATGAATCCCTCATCCCCCTGCGCTGGCTGCAGGGAGGCGACTGCCTTACTTACTAATACTGTACATCACGGATAAAGCCCACGCTGACACACAAGGAAGCCACAGACAGACAGACAGACGTCTAGACAGACAGACAGAGACAGAGAGAGGGAGAGAGAGAGAGAGAGAGAGAGAGAGACTGCACTGCCTGTTACGCCTTTGGACGCGACACATCACATGACATGACATGACATGACAAACAGGTAAGACACAGACGGCCCAGGCTTAGCCAGCCAGCCGGTGTCACATGAAAAAAGGACCAAGGCCATCCCTATCGGACGGCACCCACACACACATACATACACAGACACAATATGCACCGTTGAACATGAACCAGGGCCCACTTGATCGAAGAAACGGCCCCCTGGGCCTCCATCTGCCGTCGATGGCTCAGTCGTCGTCTCCTCCCGCCAGGAAGAAGTGGCTAAGGCCGTCTTTGGCGTTCATGCGGAAGGCGGGAGGGCACACCAACCTGACACACACACAGACAGAGACAACACACAAAGGGATAAGACATGGCGCGGAGGTTGCAATCGTCTGTTCTGTTTACCTGTCCATGAAGGCGATGAATTCGTGCAAGTACTTGCCGTTGGCCGCCGCCAAGAGGGGCGCCTTCGAGTTTTTCTGGTGCAGCAGCAGGCGGGCTGTTAGGCGTCTGTGGATGGCGTCGGTGCTCGACCCACGGGCATCCGGCAGTTCCATGCCAATCTGCGAGAGGACGTCGGCGATCCCCGGCCACTCCTCCTCCTTTGGCACGCCCATGACGCTGAAGATGTCTCGGAGCATGTGGCGGGCATCATTATGGTATGGAAACAGACTCACACCGAAGGCCGCCTGCCAAATGGACACAGAGAAGAGAGAAGACTCACATGTGATCTCGCCGTGTGTCTGCATGGTGTGTCTCTTGCACCCACCTTGAAAGCCGTAGTGGCGACGGACCACATGTCTGTCTTGGCCGTGTTGTGGAGGGTCTCGGGGAAGTTTGTCTCTCTCCCTGCAGCAATGGCGACACACATAGAGGGACAAGAGAACATATGCATCTTCTGTTGTGTGCATATATATATATATGTGTGTGCGTGTATGTGTGTGTGTGTGTCTCGCTCAGTCGGTCCCTCCCCATATGCATTCAGGCATCCACGCCTTCATACAAGTAGTAAGTTAGTTATGTATGTGTGTAGTCAGTCGAGAGGGGTCCGCCGAGTCAATCAATGTCTCAGACGGCCAGCAAGAGCCAAAAGGAGCAAAAGGCAAAAGCCACTGGTGGCGCCTCCCCGTGTGTCGAAAAAAGCCATGCGCCTATCGTACCCAGAGGGGGTACAATGGCGCTCCCGCGTACGGGATGGACTGTCTTGTGCGTCGGTGGGCTTGTCTGTGTCTGACACACACCGAGTGTGGCTGTGAGGCACACTCGTGTGTCTGAAGCTTACGTGAAAAGACGGTGTGTCAAGAGACACTTGCCTTTTCACAGCATCGGAAGAGACACTGTCTTGTATTTGTTGCGGCCATCGTGTCGCTGCGGAAGGAAATTCATCATTCATTAAGGGCTCGACAGGTGCGGCTCGACAAGGGGCGGACGTGTGCATCGACTCAGACAGACGTTCATCCACTACACGATTCTCCTGTCTGTCTGCCTGCCTGCCTGCCTGTCAAGTTGTCTGTCTCTGTCTGCCTGTTTAGGTTGTCTGTCTCCGCCTGTCTGCGAGGCTGTCTGTCTCCCTGTCTACGAGTCTGTCTTTGTTGGAATCTTGGGATTCTGCTGCTGATCATACGGCTGATCGATGGGATTCTACCTCTGCCAACACGCGTGGTCAGCAGTGCCATGAGGGCATGGGACATGTAGCGTTAATTCGACACGCCATACATGTACCATTTCATGCCATTCCATTCAGATCGAGCGAGTGCTCACCACATAGCAGAGATTGAGTGGCGATTGGCGATTTGCGGCGGTTTGTGTGTCTGAGAGTTTCACCACATCCCCATGCACACGTAAGTCCTCGCTCACCCCATCCACCCCACGACACGTCACATAGACGACAGTGCAGTTTGACAAACGGCACGCTATTCCTCACGCAACAACCCATGACCATGCTAGGGAGGGACCGACTCAGCGAGAGGATGTGTGTACGCATTGGTACGAATATAGAGTGCACTCACCATTGGCTGCAGCAGCCAGTGCCGCCTTGAGATGCACCTCCGGCGCCCGGTGAGATGGCGTCTGCATCTCGGTCTCCGTCACTCGACCGGTGTCGGCAACCTCTCGGCTGTTGCCGAAGTCAGCAAGGTTGACAGACGTACGCCCTTCTGTATCAGACAAAAGAAGACAGACAGCGTTCCATCCATGTGTGTGCAAGGTGTGAGCGTGGCGAGTGGGGTGTGTGTGTGTATACCTTGGTGCTTGACCAGGATGTTCTCGGGCTTGAGGTCACAGTGCCACACGCCGTTCTCTTCCAGATGGGCCATCGCAGACAGCAGCTGACGGAGCACCCAGCGCAGCACGGCAGGCGGGAGGCCAGCGGGGTAGGACTGACACCCTTCGGGGGGCGGGAAGCCGTGAAGCGAGTTGGTATGGGGGGTCCTGACACGAGTCTCGTGAAACACAATAACCAACCAACCTGTGTGTGATGTGATGGTGCGTTGAACACAGATCTACAACAGGCCATCCTTCAACCAGCATACATCGGTGAGAGGGGAGATGAGAATACCGAAGAACATCATCTCACCGCGCGCTTCGACCTACCTGAGTTGTGTGTGTTCTGATGGTGTGTTGAACAGATCTCGGCGCGTGAAGAAGCGTTGATTTTTGTATCCAATGTCTGCGGCCTTCACGAGATCTGCCAAGCTGGTGTTTCTGGGCGCCCCGGGTGCTGGCAAGGGGACGTATGCGACGCGGCTGTGCAAGGCGTGGTCCATCCCTCACATATCCACGGGCGACATCATTCGCGCTGAGATCAAGGCGGGATCGGACCTCGGCCGCCAGTTCCAGAGCTACTCCAACACAGGCGCTCTTGTGCCCGATGAGCTCGTTGTGGCCATTGCAAAGTACGCGTAACACATGTATCTGCTTGCATCAGTGACATACTGATGGTTGATGGACTGTTGGTCTGTCTGTCTGTATATTTGTGCATGGCATTCAGGAAGCGATTGAGTGCGTCAGATGCGCAAAGGGGATATCTGCTGGACGGCTTTCCCCGCACTGTGCCCCAGGCCGAGCAGCTTCATCAGTTCGCGCCCCCCACAATGTGCGTCAACATCGCCCTGCCTGACCGATTCCTCATCATGAAACTCGCCGGCAGAAGGGTAGGTATGTCAGTCCGTGTGCAGAAGTCACAGACAGATAGATACATCCATCCACTGGACTGGTAGATGTGACTGACACACGACGACCTCGCGTCGCTTGCTTGATTCTGTGCGTGTGCATTCGATCGAGCAGGTGTGCTCTCAGTGCGGGGCGAATTACAACATAGCCGACATTCGCGAAGGCGAGTACGACATGCCCCCACTGCTCCCCAAACCGGACGACTGTGACAAAGTCAGTCATTCGGTTGGGGGACAGCGGGAAGAGAATCTGACTGTGTATGTGAATGTATGTCTCTGTGTGTGTGTGTGTCACTCGCTCACTTCCTCATTAAACAGTGTCTGGGCAAGCCTGATTTGGTGCAGCGTGACGACGACAAAGAGGAAGTGGTCAAGGAGAGACTGGACGTCTACAAGAGGGAAACTGCGCCTCTCATCGACTTCTATGACAAACAAGTGGGTGACCCCCCATCCACGAATGGCTGTTCTGTTACGCTCCCTGTCGCTCTCTCTGGACGGGTGTCTGTTTGTCTCGTTCTCCTTCATTGCAGAGATTGCTGCTCAACTTTGACGTATACAAGGGCGTAAAGGACCTTCCCAAGCTGCAAGAGCTGATCGAGAAGGAACTCGGCAGATTGATGTGAATAGTGAGTGAAACAGGTAGACGCGTTTGTGTTCGTGTGTACGTAGGAAGGCTTGGATTTGTCTGGTCGTTGTGTGTTCACTTGTGTGGTGCGGCGGGACAGACGTACGAAGACTGTGTGCATCAAGTGTGTGTATGTGCACACACTTGTGGCCATGTATACGTATTCTTCGCCTCATCCATGTATGGACGGTGGAAGACGAACCGAGTCAGTGGCGGCACCAACCAGCCGGTGTGCCCTCTGTGAAGTGAATTGATGCATCGATCAAGATTCTTCTTCGTACACAAATCGGGGTTTTGTTGTGTCCCCTCTTCGTCCAGATTAACCCTCACCCACAAAATGCGTTGATCGCCTATTCGAATTCGTCCTTAACATAGCACCGGTCCACTCAAGCAAACAAATGCGCTTGCGTATCCATGGAAAGGCTGGTGGAGCACTTGCCACCCAGTCGAAGGACACACCACACTATCCACACTACGCTACACACGCAGTTATTCATTGAATGAATGCGACTCACCCGCCTGTTTCATGGTATATGAGTGACACAGTCAGTCAGTTTCAAACGAAAGTCATGACTACAGAGAGCCCCGGTCCAAAGAGCTGGCTACCAATGGGGGTTCCTTTTGGATACCCTCCCTCGAAGGACGGTCGTGTCTCACACACCGACGAACAAACAAATGCCAAAAAACCGTGGACGCGCAAGTGATATCCACGGGGAGCCTTGCAGTTGACGAATCCGAAGAGCAGCCGAGGAAGATGCCCCCTCGGAGACACTCGTGGACTTCGGCGTGCGACGACTCCCGTGCATATTGGTCGGCAGCCCGACGTGGGCAGGACAGACAGTGCCATGATCACTAACCGACGCAAAGCAGAGACAGACACACGCGCGACAAAGACGACATCGTGGCCTCGACAAGTGAGTAAGTGAGAAAACCAGGTGATCAGTCAACCAAGGGCCCAACAATTGCCCTGATGCTGGTCGCCAACTCTGACTAGAGAGACGGAAGCTGCCATGATTGTCGGATGGGATGGATGAAAGAAAGAAGACACATGCTCCCTTCCAAGTCTGCATCATGACCATTACACAGACGACATGACCTGTCTTCGGGAGGACGCGCGGCATTCGACCCACGCCCCCAAGGGAGAGGACAGGAAAAGCCGACCAGAGAAGGACGAAGAAAGAGGCAGACCCTTGTGGCTGAGTGGACCGAAACGACACGAGAAATACCGAGCGTCGGACAGGGAGGCAACACACTGAGAGCAGATTCGTCTTCATAACGCCCATGACTCAGAATAATGTGAGCGAGCGTTGCCGTTAGACGTGGGGCGTCACTTCTTCAATGTGGTGGTTCACGAGCACCCCGGCTGCCATGGCAATTGGCATCGCCCTCTGCCTCTTCGCCTTTTTCACTCGACACACTCTCGCCCAGAAACAGCAGCAGCAGCAGCAGCAGGATAAGTACTTGACCTTCAGGGAGAGCGGCCTCGCCTACATCCACCCAAGGGAACACGCACAGTGAGCGCCAAACAGAAGAACCGCAAAGGATACACACACTCACCCCGGCGTTTGCAAGTTGATGCGATGTGGCCTTTGTGTGTGCAGATATGTGTCGCCCTTCACGACCATCGCCCTCCGCCACGGAGAGGTGTTGCTGTCTGATGGCCTGGAGGGCAAGGTCAAGGTGTCGGCCCGCGACGAGGGGCAAACGGTGCTGTCCTCCGACCAGCGCACCCTCATCTACAAGCCCGCCACACCCAACAAGCCGCTGCCGCGTGGAGAGCGGGTCACCGTGCTTGTAAAGCCCGGCATCAAGACAGTCAATGGGACCGTGCTGCCAGGTAGATGGACAGGGAGGGGAGTCCGGCCGGGGGGAAGGGAACGGGGCAACACGCCAGGCTGGTGGTGGCACTCACTCTCTTGGGCGCCTGTGCGTGTGCGTGCATGTGTGTGTGTGCGCGCGTGTGTGTGTGTGCGAATGCAGGCGTTAAGTGGTCATTCACTGTGTCAGGGAAGGACCCTGATGGTGGCTATCCCGGTGCACGCTTATACGCGGGCAACGACTGGGCCCCAATCGAGCCGAGAGGAGATCGCAGCTTTCCCTTTGTTTCCGACGATATTGACGAATCGGAAATCGGCCGATGGCCCCCGAAGGATGCGGCTGGTCAAGTTCCCCTTCCACCCCCTGTGGCTGACATGGAGGAGGGGTGGTACCAAGCAGCCAACCACACACTCACAGAGAGAGCAGCGTGCACACATCACACGTGAAATGGCTCACCCGTGCAGGTACGAGGCGCCCTACAACTATTACAAGACCATCCCCGACCATCTGCCGCGGATGCGGGTTCGGGGGAAGCCCAAGTATGATCAGCTTGCTCCAGGCTATTTCTTCATGTCAAACAAGTAAACTGAGACGACACAAACCGCGTGGGCTGGCTGGTGGATGTATGATGATCCGTGGTGGATGTTGCAGCATCTTCGACACGGAACCCTTTGGCCACGTGTGGCACCCAGCAGTGATGGTTGTGGACAACCATGGCGATCTTGTCTATCACGAGTACCTGGGACAGCAGAACTCGACGCGGGGAAATGGTGCAAGCGTCATTGAAATGTCGCCGAAGATGGGGCTGCTGGTGCAAAGAATGGGCGGGCTGCTCGAGAAAGACCAACACTT